GCAACCCAAATGGACCATGCCGGGTTGGGTCAAGTACATACCAGAAATAGTTATGGACTTAGACACCTTATCCAACACCATTCTCATTATTGAAAGAAAATCTAAATCCTTGTCTATATAAACCATGAAATGAAATGATGTTTCTAGCCATTTCTGGCGAATAGCAACAATTGTTCAAATCTAAAACCAAACTATTCCTAAGCACTAAAGAATACACTCCAATCTTGGTCACAGGCGACGATCTTCTGTTCCCCATGATTAGATCGATCCTTCCTTGCTCTACATCCCTACTTCTTCTTAGTCCCTGCACATTAGAACAAATGTGATAACCACAACCGGTATCAAGAACCCAAGAAATAGCATGATTAGAATCGTTAGATTTGATTGTGTATATACCTGCGAAAGATGGCTTGATCTTTCCTTCTTTGATCGCTTGCAGGTAATCCGGGCAGCTTCTCTTCCAATGTCCTATCTTGTGGTAGTGGTGCCACTCTGCCTCCTTTGGGTTGGAGCAGGGCTTAGCGGGATCAACTTTGGTCCCACTAGAAGAGGCACCATCTCGGGCTTTCACCTTGCGATAGTTATTCGATGAAGCTTTCCTCTTCTTTCCCTTCCCTTGACCAATAGCCAAGATAGGAGCAGCAGATGGATTGGGAGTAGGTGCAACAAACTTGTCCTTGAAGTTGCTCTCAGTGACCCTCAAGAGACCTTGGAGTTTGCTTAGGGTGACCTCTTCTTTGTTCATGTGGTAGGTCATCCTAAATTGGTTGTACATCGGAGGCAAAGAGTGAAGCACCATATCGATCGCCAAGTCTTCACCGAAGTCAACATTTAACTTGCGAAGGCGGTCGACATACCTTTGCATCTTTTGCAGGTGCACGGTAAGAGATTCTCCATGACCCATCTTAGCGGAGATCATGTTAGTGAAAATCTCGTAACGCTCTTGTCTCGCGTTTTGGTGGTATCTCTCCAACAAGTCTTGATGCATCTCGTATGGATACATGTCCTCGTAGGACTTTTGGAATTCGGAGTTCATGGTGGCGATCATGATGCAATGTACCTTCGTTGCATCTCGCTCATGATTTTCAAAAGCGGTGATTTCTTCGGGAGTAGCAACTTCGGGGTTGATTTTCTCGAGCTTCTCATCGAGGACATACTCTTTATCCTCATAGCGAGCAATGGTGCGAATGTATCTTATCCATTCGCTAAAGTTCGTTCCATCGAAGGTGACCTTTTGGCAAAGGCTCATCAACGTGAAAGAACTAGCAGCAGCGTTGTTTGCGTTCGACATCTAAGGACAAAGATAGATTAGAATAAGAATCCCTAATTATCACCCAATAAGAAAATTAGGGCTAGGATCCAACAATAACATTTACATACTAGAAAAGGGATGCCGTAATCTAACATGCAAATAAATTGAAGGTAAGTGAATGACGATTCACTAATTCTCCATCACAAAACTTAAACTATTAGTCCTAAGTGTTTTTGAGAATTCCTAGGTTCGGATGAGATTCATTGAAACTATTCAATGGCATGTTTAAATCTCGATATGCCCCTCTCGTTTGTGACTGGGATGCCGAGGATCACAAAGCGGGTGTGAATTACCATGCAAATTCACATGGTGCCTTCATTGTAACGATCACCTATTCGATGTGCCGGTAAACCACACACGCTCCATCGAACTATGATAAACAATGAATCACCCTTTGCCACCTTCGCTTAGAACCAATTAGTGTGCCGGTAAACCACACACGCTCCACTAACTTCTTAGCAAGGTGCAAAGTGTAATTTCATGGGATTGCATCAATTCACTTTTCCTAAAGTAACTAAGATTGGGAAATTTTTAAAACGTGTAGTTACTTTTATTTCTTATTATACTTTTAATGAGAGATGAGGTTGCCCTATCCTACCCGTTCGGCTAACGACCCTCCACCAATCAAGCAAGCGGTGGGTGTGAGTGTACACCCATTAAGCGCCATTTTATAGGCCGCAACCTTATACCCACCTTATAGATCGGCTTCGTGAATGAGGCCTACTAACGGTAAGACTAGCATTTAGTTATACATATATATATTATTCTAGTAATATCATATTAGTATAGGGTTGTATTTTAAAACTTTTTAAAATCTAGGGTTTGAAATTTAAGTTGTCTAAATTAAAACTTTTAATCACAAATATAAATTTCAAAACTTTAGGGTAGGTTTTAAACATTTAAAACATGAAGGATCAAATAACAAATAATTCCAATTAACAATTAATGTCCTAATTATCTTTATTTGATTTATCCAAGATTTCTTTTAAGATAATTATCAAAATAATTAATCATTTATCACATAAGGAAATTAAATATTTTATTAGATGATAAATATCTTTAATTAGATCAAGATAATAGTCATATATATCAAAAAATCGAATTAGGGTTGATCTAATATGATTAAGGTAAGTTTCCATAAGATAAACATGAAAAAATCCCGGTTTTGCCTAATCCAGACGCTCGGACTCGCCGAGTACAGGCCTACTCGCCGAGTCCACTTTGGAACTCGCCGAGTACATGACTCATAAACCCAAAATCGAATTTTGCAGGTTTGTTTCAGTTAATCAAGCAACAATTTAAAGAAAACCAAGCTAGGCTCTGATACCACTGATGGGTTTTAGCCATAAGAACTTTCCTATGTGCGCATGCAAAACCCTAATGCTTGGATCTAGGCTTTCTAATTAAACATGCTTTGAATCCAAGACTTCTAATGGCTAATTAAAGTTAAATAACAACATTGAAATAGATCTAGAATCATACCTTTGAGTTCCTTGTTGATCTTGTTGTCTTGGAGCTTCTAGAGTCACAAATGTCACTCCTCTAATGGCTTACAAACACCAATAGCAAGCAAGATGATTTAGGAGAGAGGAGAGGGGAGGAATTCGGCCAGAGTATCTCTACTTTTTGATGGTGTGTCGAATTCCCTCACCCCTAGGGTCTATTTATACTTGTAGACTCCTTAAGGGTTACAACCTAAACCCTAATTGGATAATCTTCTCAATAAGGCTATCCAAATCCATTCCATAGATAAGCCTTTGGACGATTTTAGCTATCCTATATCTCATAGAATTCGTCCAAAGCATATCCCAATGGATTTATAGTCTAAAGTTTAACTATCAAACAATTGACAGTTTATACCCCTTTATTTAATTAATCTCTTCAAGTCACCAAATTAATTCCAATTAATTTATGACTTATAATATTTACTCTCTCTTAACAAATCATCCATCAAGTTGCTATGGTGAAGGCAACCCAAAAGGACCATGCACAACCGGATCAAATACTTGCATAATATAGTTGCAGCCTTAGACACTATTCCAACAAAAGCTTCATTGGTAATTATCTACACGTAATGTTGGAAACTTTATGTGTAAACCAATCCCTAGCAACCCAGATCTATGAATGGAATGGACTGGATTCAAGAAAAATCGCGTGTATAGTTTTTGCATGACGCTAACTCGGCGAGTCGGGTCCCGAGTCCCCGGGTTGTTCCCCTTTTCGAGTTGGAGTAGTGAGTCATAGGGTATGAATCATTGGGTTGGAAGCCAGACTCACTCATGAAGTCACTCGGTGAGTGAATGCCATGACTCGACGAGTTCATGGCAATCTTCTTTTCTCAAGAACAACTCGGCGAGTCACAGCTTAGAGTGTTTTTCGGATGAAGGCTAACTCGACAAGTTGTTCATACGGCTCGGCGTGTAGGATGAAGGACTAGTGGACTTGGGTATAGAGAAAGGGACTCGGCGAGTTGGCAACCCAACTCGACGAGTCTGCTCAACTGGCAGTTGACTATGACTTGACTCATGACTTGTTAAGGGTAAATGGACAATTTACCTTGAGGGCGGATAGCAGTATTTGACTAAATTTTTTATGGGAATTACAGTCGGAGGATTTCCGAAGCAGCAATAGCAGACAGACCATTCCAACACAGATCAACAGCTACTACGAGGTGAGTTACCTTCCAGTAGCGGTGGGTTTAAGGCCACAATGCCGGCCCACCAGTAGGACATGTATGATGGATGATTGTCTTTGTGATATCATCTAGGTTTGCTACTACCTGATATGTTATATGGTAGCATGATATGTTGTATGTGATAGTAGTAGAGTTCGGTTGTTAGACCGAAGGGTAGTCAGACACCCCAGATACGTCTGACAGTATATGATGATATGTTTGCATGCTGGCTTTTTACGTTATATGCGATAGAGGTAGTAGGAGGGGACTAGTTCCCGAGTTCGGTTGCTAGGACCGAAGGGTAGTTCAGGCACCTCGGATATGTCTGATAATATGTTATTTTTTGATATATGTGATAGTAGCAATAGGGGGTGAAATAGTCCCCGAGTTCGGTTGCTAGGACCGAAGGATAGTCAGAACCCCATAATGGCTTGACATGGGTACTCAGCACCCCAGAATGGCTTGACACGGGTAGGTCGGCACCCCAGAATGGTTGTACCGGGTAGGTCAGGCACCCTAGAAATGCCTCGCAATATGTATGATATGTGATTGTATGGTATGCGGTATGATGGGGGAACTCACGAAGCTTCGTGCTTACAGTTTTCAGTTTTAATTTCAGGTACATATTCTTCGAAGGGGAAAGAGCTGGCGCAGTAGCGGCCCATCACACACATGCTTCGTATTCCGCATCATGAGATCTTCCTAGGGATTTGTACTCTAACATTATTATGTTTTATGAAATGTTTTCCAGACATGCGATATCTTTATAAAATGTTATGATCAGTAAACATTTTAATTCGAATGTTTTGCTAAATATATGTTTTCAAAAATGAAATTTTTGGCTCGTATTTTTGGGGTGTTACAAATATTGAATCAAGTGGTACTGATACAAATCCCCAAGTTATTAATCCAGGACAACGCCATTTAAGACAGGATAATGCTCGACCCATACCAGACTGGGGTCAGCATATAAACCATTGGTGCAGACAGGAAGGTATATGCCCTCCTTGCAGAATGGCCAGAGAATATTACAACCTCACAGATGGAGGTACAGCTGATAAAGGCCATCCAATTATTAATCGCCAAACTGATCAAGCTAGAATCTTGATAAATCGGATTCTTGAAGTGAATGCCACCGCACAAGTCAATATTGCGGATATCTTACGACTTGATGAGATGCAAGAAGACACCGATCAACACACTATAACCCTTCAAAGACAAGTTGATGCTGCTCAAGAAGAAATAAGACAATTGAGAGAGTATCAAGTGGCGCAAGAAAAGCGCTGGAAGTCACAAGACGAAGCAGGGCCTAGTAACCGATGTAACCCACGGTGCAAATAGTGTTTCACTACTAAGTTTTACTTTAATTAAGTTTTTAAATATGTATGTAAAAATTTCTTTTATGTAAAATATTTTGTAACAAGTCAAAGTTTATGTATGATATAAATAAATAAAATGACAAATATTTCATATTACCATCTTCTTCTCACAATTTATTTACATCAGCATTTTTATGAATCAAATTTAAATTGAATAACTTATTATCCTTTATTTTTTTATAGTTAAAAGATGCCTCGACATAATCCACCACCACCACCAACTCAATTCGATGCTGCAACATTTCAAGCAGCAGTAGCAGCAGCTGTAGCAACAGTTATAGCACAATTAAATACAAATGGTGGTAACAATCCTCCTAATCTGGGAAATAACAATGGGCAACCAAGAGAATCTACTTATAAAGATTTTACTAATGGAAAACCAAAATCCTTTGATGGCACGGGAGGTGTCATTGTTTTGTCGCACTAGTTCGAGAAGACAGAATCAGTATTTGAAATATGTGCCTATCCTAAAGCCAATAAACTGAAGTACGCTGCATGTACCTTTGCAGATAGAGCCCTTTCATGGTGGAATGTGATGGGTTTTATACAAACAATCCTATGTGTGCATGCAACCCTAATTTGGATCTATTTTTTCACTATTAGATACACAACATTATGATCACATGGATAAAATCATAATGTAGCATGCTATTTTCGAAATTCATATATAAGGTTAGATCACATACCTCTTGTTGTTATATTGTAATAACAACTTAAATCTTCAAACCCTCAGTCTTGAAAGCAAGCACCACAAGTGTAGTGCCTCTAATGGCTCACAAACACCACAAGCAATTGGAGAGGCTATAGAGACAGAAGGGAGGAGGTAAAAATCGTCCTTAGATTCTCTAGGGATCAAGTGGACGAAATCCAAAGGCCTTAGGGGTCTTTATATAGGGTTGGGATTAGGGATTCAGTCCTTATCCTTATCCAGTTACTTGCCCACCAAGCAACCACAAGATAAGCCTTGAAAACCCTTATCTCTTGGACCTTGGACAATTTTAAGGATATCCTTATCCTTGAATTCGTCCATCCTTTAACAAGGATAACCATTTCCCTATTTTGCAGCTATCACATAATTACAATTCAGCCCCTCTAGTTTAATTAATTACACTTGATCACAAAATTAACTCCTAATTAATTATTGACTGTCACACCCCCAAACCTGAACGGAGGGAACGTTAGGGGGCGGATGACTTCATGTGGTAACGTAACAAATGAATACATAGTAACGAAAGCAATACAACCATCATATATATATATATATATATATATATATATATATATATAAAGTTTACATTTGTCAAAAGTTACATGTTCAAATCCAATTACAATATGATGTCAAAATATGAGATTAAACTGGCGCCGTAGCATCCCTTCATCAAAAGCATAATGATACGTGTAGTTACTGAATCCCTGGAACATACAAGTGATTTTGAAAGAGTAGATCAACATTTAATCTAGTGAGTTTCATAAGTATTTAATGACAATGTTTGTATAAAATGAAATATCTTGTCCTTGTTTGTTTGTGTTTAGAAAATCCTATATTTTCTACTAGTATAAAAGTAGTCTTCCTTCCAGACCAAAGTTTGTTTCCAAAAAAACGTATGTAAGTGTAAAAATAACCAATATTTTTGAAAACCTTGTAAATCAATGTATTTTTAATACCTCCTTTGAGTTTTATAACCATACTATTAACTTGGGATGCATATACACAACGTACTTCAGGCGTTGGAATGTTATGACGTTTGTCACCCCAAATGGTGGACTGTAGCTAACAGTCAGGGCGCGGGTTGTCAAGCCTTTATAGATCTATGCACAAACACCATGCTCCCCCTCCAAGAGATTCTGGTATATAATATAGGACTTGAAATGTGTACTCGAACGTACATGAAGTTAATGTCTCACAGAACCGTAGTATAAAAACAGATTTACGTGTTAAAATGTTCATTTGCTATTGTATATGAAAGTGATTTCTTGAAAATCATGTTTCTAGTATGTAAAAGTTAGCAATATCCTCATAAAACTATACATATTATAGTTTTCTAAAAGTGTGCGTCGTTTGTTTTAGAATATCTAGAAAAGGAACCACTTGTTACGAAAGCATAGATTTTTGTAGAGCCTAAGATAGACACATATACTTTAAATCTTGAAAAATGTTTAGTTTATACATGGATTACAACAATTTATAGTTTTAAAGATAGAATGTTATTGTAATATATTTTGTATACGGGAGTTCCCTATAAAGTTTATAAATCACATATGATTCTACTTAATAAAAGTGTATAATAATCTTTATATATCTAACACCCGATAGTAGTCGTGTGTTTTACTTGTATTTCCCCCCTTAGAAAGCATATAAAAGCGTTTAGAATATTTAAAAAGGGTTAAATTATGGGGTATGAACTCACTTGAAAGTTTGAAGATAGCGGGATGGAAAAACCGGGCAGAGTTTCATCTCGGGAAACGGATTTTTCTCGGGATTCTCGGAAATCTCGGGAGTAAAATCGACCTTCGGGACTTGCACAAAATGACCAGGGCTTAAGGGTAGTGCGGGGACGGAAATCGAGGCAATATCATGAGAGAAATGAGAGAGATGGGGTCAATTTTCCGGAACCCTCGCATATCGATTTATAGGAGGCTGAGAGGCGTCGTTACGCGGGGCGTACGCACGTACGCTGGGCGTACGCGTACGTCATGCGTGACCGAGTCCTCGACTGCCTCGAAGCTCGAATGGGATGGGTCGGTAGTTCGCACAGGCGCGACGTGGAAGATCCGAGGCCAAGGCCTTCGCGTATGCGGGTCGTACGGGGTTACGCGGCACGTAACTCGGATGACTACGCTGACTCCCCCTTCGGATAATACCGGATTTTGAATTAAATAAATATATAATTTATTTAATAAACTTCAAAAATTCATATCTTCTTCATACGAACTCCGTTTTCGATGTTCTTTATATCCCCGCGAAGGTGAGACCATACTCTACAACTTTTGTTTAGATTCCATCGGCAAATTCCGAAATTATTTTTATTATTTATTTATAGAATGTCATGATTAAGAAATTTCTTTAAACAATTCGTAACATCTTTATCTGACGTCAGTTTTTGCCAGACTTTTTACCATTGAAATACCAATGTCGAGACCTTCGATTCTCGTTTAGGTCATTCCGGCCAATAGTCGCTCGATCTCCAATTCGAGTTTTTAGTTGTCTGTTGCTAAGCCGAATTTGGAAAAATCTTAACTTCAATATACGAAGCCGGGTTTGGGCATTCTTTTTACGTACGATCCCAGTTTAATGATATAAAACATAGTAGGTAGTTAAATAGAAACTTTTTGGACATTTTATTATCAACGTTAATTTTATTAACTCGAAAGTGGTTACAATACTTGACCTATTAGGCCATTACAAAGAGTTGAAATATCGGGTTGGCACATCATTCCCCCCGTTAGAGGGAATTTCGTCCCATAATTGGTGATATCCAGATCGTAGATCCATTTTTGACAAGTAGTTTGCTCCTTGGAGTTGATCGAATAGGTCGTCAATACGGGGTAGAGGGTAACGGTTCTTGACAGTAAGTTTGTTCAGCTCTCTGTAGTCGATGCACATACGGAACGATCCATCTTTCTTCTTTACGAACAAGACCGGTGCTCCCCAAGGTGAGAAACTTGGTCTTATGAATCCTATTTGAAGGAGTTCATTAAGTTGAATTGAAAGTTCTTGCATCTCTACTGGTGCTGGACAATAAGGCGATTTCGCTACTGGGGTAGCCCCTGGAACTAAGTTGATTCTGAATTCAACTTGGCGTTGTGGTGGTAATCCTGGTAGTTCTTCTGGAAAAGATATCGGGAAAGTCGCGTACTTCTGAAATGTTCTTGATGTACTTCAGTTCCTGGCTTGTATCGACGATGTGTGCTAGGAATGCTCGACAATCCTTCTGTAAACACTTTCGAGCTTGGATGCACGAAATGATACGAAGGTTTATACTTGATTTGTCGCCGTAAATCACTAATATTTCGTTGTTAGGGAGATTAAGACGAACTGCTTTTTCAAAACACATGATGTCGGCGCGAAGAAGACTTAACCAATCCATGCCGACTATAACGTCGAAACTTTTAATAGGAACCGGCAGGAGATTGATTAGCAAAGAATGACCGTCTAAAGTTAACGTACAGTCCTTGTATATGTAGTTAGTGTTTTCGGTTTTTCCATTTGCCATCTCTACGGTGAATGATTTTTCTAGTTTGCTAGGTTTAGGTTTAAGTAAGTGAATAAAATTTTGACTCACGAAGCTTCTCTCCGCTCCACTATTGAATAATATGCATGCATATGAATTATCGAGGAGGAACGTACCAGCAACTATAGTTGGGTCAGCTATAGCTTCGTCGTGGCCTATAGTCAAAACTCGTCCCACACCGCCGGTGCCTGCTGCCTTAGGGTAGTTCCTCTTGTAGTGGCCCACCTCGCCACAATCGTAGCAAGTCTGGCCTATACCCGCACTGGGAACTGGAGTGATCGGCTTTGTGGGATCCTTGCAGAAACGGGCTGTGTGTCCCTTTCTGTTGTAGTTGGTGCACTGCATTTCCCGACAAGGTCCATGGTGATGGTAAGTGCATTTGGTGCACTTTGGAAGGTTACCTACATAAGGCTTTGTTGTGTAGCTATTTGTAGGAGCTGTAGTAGGTACCGTGGCAGCATTCACTGAAACTAGTTGTTTCTTTGTGGATTCTTGGGAAGACCCACCCTTCCCTTTATTCCATACTCTCTTCCTGTTGTTGTTGTTGTTGTTGTTGTTGTTGTTTCCTCTCTGTGGTTCTGGTGCAGAAACGGTTGAGTTCTGATGGCCTCCGTAGTTAATCAGAGATTGTGCCAGTTCCTTAGCACTTTCAAAGGTGTCAGGTTTGGAAGCTAACACGTTTGACCGTATTTGGGGCGTCAGTCCCCATATGTACCTCTCTATTTTCTTG